CTCATACACACCGACGGGTCAAGATGGGTCAGACGCACCTGGCGCTGCTCAGCAGCAGCCACGTCAACTGTTATGTTGGCCCATACCAACTCCCTCCCCTGAACCCTCCTCCCCACCGGAATATCAACAAGTTCTCACCAGAAGTTACTATTTCATTTGGGAAAGGAATGGAACCAGTGTTGAATAGTGGTGAACAGTGCTTAAGTCAGTGAAAAACAACTCGGCAGTTGAATCTTACCCAAGCTAACCTTCACACAGTGAGGTCCCAGGTACCCAGTGATAATTCCCCTGAGACTCCACGATAGAGAAGCCTGGGACCACACCTCACCCACTTGAGTGAGTGAAGTCCTGTGACAACTGACCACGTGGTGTTCCCAAGATGCTACGACACCACATAGTGAATGAGTTGCTACAGCATCATGTGAAGTTCCTCATAACACCATCTGTGAGGGAATTACTACACCACGTGATGCCCCTCATAACACCATCTGTGAGGGAATTACTACGCCATGTGATGCCCCTCATAACACCATCTGTGAGGGAATTACTACACCACATCAGGCCCCTCATACACCATCATTTTCAGGGAGGGGAGAATTGATAAATGGCAGTGAAGACATGAGCAAAGCATTGAACAGCTACTTCTTATCAGTTTTCACAGAAGAAATTTGCGATGAAATTCCGGAGGTGGAACTGATATTTAAGGGAAAGGAAGAAGAGAAATTAAAGATATCACCATCAGAAAAGAGGATGTTCTTAAGAAGATAAATAAACTAAAGAACACAAAATCCCCAGGGCCGGATGAAATTTTTCCTCGAGTCTTAAAAGAGTGTAGGGAACAGATTAGCGGACCCCTCGTAAATTTATTTACAAAATCATTAGACACTGGAGTTGTGCCAGAGTTGTGGAAACAGGCGAATGTAGTACCCATATTTAAAAAGGGAGACAGAGCATCAGCGTCAAATTACCGGCCGATCAGTTTGACGTCAGTAGTGGGGAAATTTCTTGAATCAATTATAGCAGATAGCATCCGATCGCATCTAGAGAAAAGCAAATTAATCTACGACTCTCAACATGGGTTTACAAAGGGAAAATCTTGTCTAACAAATCTGCTAACGTTTTTTAGGAAAGTCTTCGAGGTAGTAGATAATGACGAAAATTACGATGTTATTTACTTAGACTTTAGCAAAGCATTTGACAGAGTACCGCATCAGAGGCTTCTGAGAAAAATTAAGGCTCATGGTATCGAGGGGAAAGTTTTAAATTGGATAAAATCATGGCTCACCGATAGAACGCAGAGGGTCAGCGTAGATGGTGTTAAATCTGAGTGCCGTGTAACCAGTGGGGTTCCCCAGGGGTCAGTACTAGGCCCACTCTTGTTCATAATCTACATAAACGATTTAGATACTGGGATCAGCAGTGACATAAGCAAGTTTGCGGATGACACCAAAATAGGGCGGCAAATTAATTCAGGGCAGGATGCAAATGCATTACAGGAGGATCTAAATAAACTGCAGGGGTGGTCTGAAAAATGGCAAATGAAATTCAACACCAGCAAGTGCAGCGTACTTAATATTGGAAGAACAAATACTTATAATGTATACAGCCTGAACAACATCAACCTAGAGAAGTCGACTTGTGAAAGAGACCTAGGGGTACTTGTAAGCCCGGACCTACGGCCTAGAAAACAGTGCGTTAATGTTCGAAATAAGGCAAACAGAGTATTGGATTTTATATCTAGAAGTGTAAGTAACAAGAGTGCAGAGGTCTTATTGCAACTATATCTTGCGCTAGTCAGGCCGCACCTCGATTATGCGGTTCAGTTCTGGTGCCCCTATTATAGAATGGATATAAATTCACTAGTCGGTGCAGCGAAGAATGACAAAAATGATTCCGGGACTTAGAAACCTTCCATATCAGGATAGGTTAAAGAAACTTAACTTGCTTCCCTAGAAAGACGAAGAGTGCGGTGAGATATGATAGAAGTATTTAAGTGGGTGAAAGGAATCAATAAAGGGGATATAGATAAAAGTTCTTATAATATCCGAGCAGGATAGGACTCGGAGCAACGGATTCAAGTTGGATAAGTTTAGGTTTAGGAGGGAGATAGGAAGAAACTGGTTCACAAATAGGGTGGTGGACGAGTGGAACAAGCTTAGCAACTTTGTAGTAAGTGCGGGAACTCTGGAAAGTTTCAAAAGGAGGCTAGATAGATTCAGTGGCGGCTCGTGAAAAATAAAATGGAGGGACTGCAAGCCTCACACAACAGTAGGATACACAAATTTGACCTACCTCAGGTATGAGTTGTAGTTGATGTCCACGAATTCCCAGGGCATGGTAGTAGTGTTGGTGGTGATGGACCAGTATTAATTGAAAATAAAGTCGGCGTGTCTGCTCTTCGATGTAGCAAAATTGTTTATTACTATTTCATTAAAATCCTTTATTTCTGGGAAAAGTTGATGTTTTGCAAATACTTCACTCGATTTTCCATCGTCAAAGGGTAATTAAAGAAAGCACGATTTAACCACACCGTCCACACGTTGTACGAGACTGAGCTGCTTCAAGTGCGGCGGCGGCGCCAATTAATAACAGACATGAATCGTACAGCATTGACAGCAACTATGAAAGTAACTTAAATTTTGGTCTGATTTTAATGAAAATTCACTTAGCAACGTATTGAAAATAATTAAATAACATATAAAATGATATATTTGTTGGTAGTGTATTATTCAGCTGTCTCTCTAAAGGAATCATACGCCTGGCAGTGAGTGTCTGGGGGACTGCAGCTCTGCAGCCCTATGCACGAGCCGCCACTGGTGGTAGTAACTCGACAGAGCTGCCATGCACAGGCCAACTGCCTATTGCAGACTCCTTATTTTCTTATGTTCTTATCTGTGAGGGAATTACTATACCACGTGGCCCCTCATAACACCATCTGTGAGGGAATTACTACGCCATGTGATGCCCCTCATAACACCATCTGTGAGGGAATTACTACACCACATCAGGCCCCTCACCATCTGTGAGGGAATTACTACACCACGTCAAGCCCCTCACAACACCACCTGTGAGGGAACTAGTACTCCACGTGATGCCCCTCATAACGCCATCTGTGAGGGAATTACTATACCACATCAGGCCCCTCATAACACCATCTGTGAGGGAATTACTACGCCATGTGATGCCCCTCATAACGCCATCTGTGAGGGAATTACTACGCCATGTGATGCCCCTCATAACGCCATCTGTGAGGGAATTACTACACCACATCAGGCCCCTCACCATCTGTGAGGGAGTTACTACACTACATGTCTGCTGTTCAACACCTCAGCTCACATGATCTACGTGTGTAAACATTAATCTGTATGTTCACTGTATGTTCCTTCACCTTTCTCTAATGAAGGCTTTTGTTAAACCACCAATGTATGTAATAAGTCATTTATGTCCAATGTATATTTTCAGCCTTCGGGCTGCAGAACTTTTTCAATAAACCGTTAATTATTATTACACACACACACATACTCATACACACACACTCACATATTGTATGTCGGTGTTGGCTCCACTCTGTGTGTCTGTATGTCGGTGTTGGCTTCACTCTGTGTGTCTGCATGTCGGTGTTGGCTCCACTCTGTGTGTCTGCATGTCGGTGTTGGCTTCACTCTGTGTGTCTGTATGTCGGTGTTGGCTCCACTCTGTGTGTCTGTATGTCGGTGTTGGCTTCACTCTGTGTGTCTGTATGTCGGTGTTGGCTCCACTCTGTGTGTCTGTATGTCGGTGTTGGCTTCACTCTGTGTGTCTGGTATGTCGGTAAGCGCTCCCACTCTGTGTGCCCGCAATGTCGGTGCGGCTTCACCTGTGTGTGTTCGTATGTCGGTGTTGGCTTCACCTGTGTGTCTGTATGTCGGTGTTAGTCACCCAGTGTGTCTGTGCTGTCGGTGTTGGCTCCACTCTGTGTGTCTGTATGTCGGTGTTGGCTCCACTCTGTGTGTCTGCATGTCGGTGTTGGCTCCACTCTGTGTGTCTGTATGTCGGTGTTGGCTCCACTCTGTGTGTCTGTATGTCGGCGTTGGCTCCATGGGTTAAAACATCTCAACTGCCAAAGTAAAGTAACGACCAGTAGCGGGTTACGTAAGAGCCGTGAGTCGAGACAGGTGATTTAAGGTCATCTGTCGTGACCGAGATACAACGACTGATTCTTATCTATTATCAGTAGTTTACCTTTTTTATGGCCGGGGTTTCCATCGCCACCATTCTTATCATCATTAGTGCCTGGCAAATTTTTTCTTCACGTCAAGTTTCATTAAAATCTCAACACGTCTCTTTAAAGCTAGGTTACTATCACACACACAAAATGAGTTAACGTGAAATTACAACACAAAATAAATTCTCATGTTATTTTACTTACTAGTTGGAGTGAGTCATGGGATGTATCCGTCACACACAGACACACACAGAAGGCCTTATCATTCTTTTTAATCATACTTGATGATGATGTTGACCTTTCCGTTGGCGCTTGTGATGGTTGGGGGAAACGGATGGGAAGGAGATAGGCGGGAAGGGAAAGGCTATAAGGGGATGGGATAGAAGGGATGGGAAGGGAAGGGGGGATAGGAGGGAGGGGAAGGGAATGGATATAAGGGGATAGGAGGGAAGGGAAGGGATATAAAAGGATAGGACGTGAAGGGGATAGGAGGGAAGGGAAGGGATATAAGGGGATGGGATGGGAAGGGAATGGGAGGAAAGGGGAGAGTATGGAAGGGAAAGAAAAGAAAGGGGTAAGGGAATGGTAGGGTAAGGAAGGGGAGGGAAGGGGAAGAAAAAGAAGGGTAAGGTAGGGAAGGGAAGGTTTAGGGTAAGGAAGGGAACGGAACGGGATATTTCTAAGAATCGTAAAAGGCGGAGTGTGCTGCATGATTCCAAAGTCACTCAAGGTAAAGAGGGATGTGAAGGAGCACACATTGTGGGAAAAGTCTTGAAGAGATAAAAACAACCCAGGCAGGTAGATAAGTACAAGGTATAGGCGGTGTGTTATCATAAACCCACCAGATCTTAGGAACTCTGCCTGCAATCATGAAGTTGACTTTTTTGCTCCTTCTCGCAGCCGCTGGTAAGTTAGAACCGCCTGGTCATCTGGATACAGTGAGTTGAACATCTTTCTATCATTCTAGACTAAATTCGATGCTTCGTGCATGTGGTGTGTTACAGGGGGCTATGGACAGTCGTGTAATGGTCGGTGCGGTGACAATGATCCAACCCAATCCTGTGAATGCAACTCCGACTGCACGAAATTCAATGATTGCTGTAGCGACTACGAGGAAATATGTATGTCGTGTATGGACCGTTGTGACGAGGCCTTCTTAAAACCCAAGCCCTGCCAGTGTAACAATCAGTGTAACTCCCATAACAACTGCTGTCCCGACTACGACGATGAGTGTGGTGGTGAGTAATGGAATGTTTTACTTGCCTGGCGCCAGTGTTACTTAATTAAACTATTCCTACCTTATTTGTTGTTATTTGCTTTTTTTATGAACATTATAAATTCACGAGGCTTCACTGAGAGAGAGGTATATTTGAATCTCTGACAGGCGGTGTGACGGACGCGGAGCTACGGGCACTCACGGAAGAGATGTACGCTGCCATGGAGGACGCTGTGGGTGACCTTCTGACCATTGACCTCCAGGGTAAAGGTGATTCAGGTGACCTTGCCCCGGGGCCGTAAGTACCGTAACTTTCTTGTATTGAGTAAGAGAAGCGGCTCTGTTTGTTTTGTGACCAATGGGAATAGAGTACAATAAGTTAAAGGAATATACTATTGGTCAATTTGACATGAAAGTGTAATTTAGCTTTTCCTTTAATGTTCCTCCTTACCTCCTTTCCTTTCCTCTATTCCTCCGTACCTCATTTCCTTCCCTCTATTCCCCCCTACCTCTTTTCCTCTCTATATTTCTCTTCCTAATTGCAGGTATATAAATGTAAGGCACAAACTCCTCTTATTTACAGTCACTCCAAAAAACTATCTCTACTTGAGGTGATCGATGAATATCACAATGAACACTGTGACTCCTGTTGTCTCAGTAGGGTTGTCAAAATGTTTCGTCAGTTGTGTTATATTTAATCAACACAATTTTGTATCGATAGTTTTTTTTGAGTGACTGTATGTTCCTAAGTTCCTGGGTTTTTATTCTTCGTTTGCTGTAGAATAGAGGGTAAAGTCAACCTCATGGTGATATGGTCTGTGTGTCTGTTGTCTGTATTCTGTCAACCCCATGTTATCTGTTTGTCTGCTGTCTGTATTCTGTCAATCCCATGTTATCTGTTTGTCTGCTGTCTGTATTCTGTCAACCCCATGTTATCTGTTTGTCTGTTGTCTGTATTCTGTCAACCCCATGTTATCTGTTTGTCTGCTGTCTATATTCTGTCAACCCCATGTTATCTGTTTGTCTGCTGTCTGTATTCTGTCAACCCCATGTTATCTGTTTGTCTGCTGTCTGTATTCTGTCAACCCCATGTTATCTGTTTGTCTGCTGTCTGTATTCTGTCAATCCCATGTTATCTGTTTGTCTGCTGTCTGTATTCTGTCAACCCCATGTTATCTGTTTGTCTGCTGTCTGTATTCTGTCAACCCCATGTTATCTGTTTGTCTGCTGTCTGTATTCTGTCAATCCCATGTTATCTGTTTGTCTGCTGTCTGTATTCTGTCAATCCCATGTTATCTGTTTGTCTGCTGTCTGTATTCTGTCAATCCCATGTCGTCTGTGTACCTGCTGTCTGTAGTCTGTTAATCTCTTTCCTTTGCCTCAATATTCCCAAACGATGAGAAATATCCCCCAACACGTGTTCTTCATGGTATGTTGAGGTGCCCGAAGCTGGTCACATTTACAAAGAGCTTCTATAATTTCCTTTTTTGTTTTTAATATTTTATCCATGATGCATTGGGTCCGTTCCACTACTGCTACATGGGTGGTTCTTGGTATGTGATTTAAAAAGGTAAAATACAAATAAAAGATGATACAAGTGGTGGATCTCCTGCAGGCTGTTCACTTCGGTACCAGACGCTGCCCTGAACGGTCCTACCATCAGTCTCCTGCGGCAGCTACAGGATAATTATGTTCCCGATGTTAAAGTCGCAGAAGATGAAGATGAAGTTGAAATCGCCGAAAAAGATGATTTCCTGGACGCTATGATAAGTACCCAGATCATGCAGCTGGTTCAGAATTTCCTCCAAGATAAAAGTGAGTTTTTTGTTAACTTTCCTGTTTATTCTTCTTCCCTTGTGAGAGTCTGGAGGTTAGGGATATCACGTTGATAACTATGAAGAGCGACATCCAGTTGAATCGCATCAGTAGAGCAACTGGTGTTGCCTGAGGTTTAGTAATGGATTGAAATACTGATTACACTTTCCAAAACAAATCAAGTAAATGTCTTAGTTTTTTTACCCCCAGTGGCAGTAAGTATGGAAAACATAAACAGTACAATACTATAGGAATTATATCAATGTAGTGCATGGCAATACTCACTTCACCTGCTGCCTATACATTACAGAGCTCCTCACAGGTAGTCTCAGGGACAAACTGGATGAGATTTGGTTCACCATGTACCCCAGGACCAAGTCAGGTCCTCGGGGATCCTCAGGTTTCGAACATTCTTTTGTCGGCGAGCTGAAGAACGGACAGGTCTCTGGCTTCCACAACTGGGTCAATTTCTATAAAGAAGAACAGAAAGGCAACAGTAACTACGAGGGCTGGTCAGGGTTCCTTAATATCGATGATAAGGTAAATTTATCTTTTATTACGAGGAAATTTATCAAATTTATGTTTTATGTTGCGGTAATTACAGTATATAGCTCTTTCATGAAGTGTGACTTGACAAGCAATAGAAATAAATTAGATTATAAAGAAAGATTAATGTTAAATATATGGCTAAGAACTGAGGAGAACTAAGGACTGAGGTCTAAGGACTAATAAGGACTGAGGGAAAATAAGGACTGAGAACTATGGACTGAGGATAAATAAGAACAACTTACAACTAAGGACATTAAAAAAATAAGTAGTATAAATAACTTAACACCTATATCCTCCTCCTCAACCTCAGTGTGGCGTTCTCATGGATCACTTCACCTGGTACTCGGAACCCAAGAAAATCGGCTCCATGTTCGTTGGGACACCCCCTGAGCTGGAGCTGGCTACTTATACCGTGTGTTTCCTGGCCAGACCCAATAGTCTCTGTCCAGTCCAGATGAATAACAAGCTGTACCATGCCCAGACGTGGGACATTACCTACGAAGGGAAGGTCTACGTTGGCAGCGCTTATCCTGATATTGGTGTTTGATTTTATGATATAAATTCAGTTTTCTGAAGGTATAAATTCAGTTTTCTGAAGGTATGAATCCAAATTTCAGGAGACTTACTATAAAATTATATATTTGGTTAATTTTTAGATGTTTCTTCTCTAATGTTTACCATCAAATGTGAGTAGAATAAAATGATAAACCTATAATAAGAGTAAACATTACCTTCAGTTCATCTCTTATCTTATTAAGAGATATGTACTGCGTCAAAATGGCCGACATATGTTACTGGTATTAAAATGTACATGACTAAGGTGACGTCTACAGTCGATTACATAGACTAGGTTATATACACGGATATATCCCTTCATTATATATATACCCTATTACAAGCTCATATATGATTAGTTATCGTTCTTGGCACTCTTAAAATATATACTACACAAGGAGGATATATAATTTCAGAATGGTTTTAAGACAATGCGGAGAGACAGATTGATGAACCAGCCACCGGGATTATGGGGGTGTCTCAACGTACCATGACGACATCCACCAGCCAAAATGTACTCGATTTATCTCAGGCATGAAGAGGTTGATCGTTGCTAGTGGTGCCTCTGTTAGTTGAAGCTTTTATCTATTACTCGAGTGACGGGATCGCCAAAGAAAATTATCAATAAGTCTGTTTTGAATTGATCGCTGGTGCCCTTCCCCTCTGGTTAAGTTAGATTAGGTTAGGTAATTAAAGTTATTATTTTTGAATTATTACAGATAAATCATGTTGACAGTCATACATGGATATACACCAAATTAAACCCATTAGCTTTATTTATCCCTGATCAAAGTTATCTACAGGGCAACTACAGTCTGCATCGCCCATTTAGCTTTGTTTACAGTCCCTTTAAGTTTGAGTTTACAGTCCCTTTAAGTTTGAGTTTACAGAGTCCCTTTAATCTCGACCTGAAGAAAAACACCATAATATCTATACTTAATACACTATAGCACCATCAGTTCAGAAAATTAAAAAAACAAAACGCACTTAGTATGTGTTCCATTATGTACCCTAATGGGATTATATCTTTTATCTGTAATAATTAAACGGCGCTCCACAAACTACATCTCTACTTAATATTTTTCTTGTGAATAGAGAGGAGTCAGGAGGCTGAGGTACAGCTGCACCCTACTGTACCCTGCTGGTTACACCCCTAAGAGATTTTACAACAATAAAAATGTCGATGCCTGGGAGTGTGTGTGTGTGTGTGTGTGTGTGTGTGTGTGTGTGTGTGTGTGTGTGTGTGTGTGTGTGTGTGTGTGTGTGTGGTACGCAGTGAGTGGCACAGAGAGGCGGAGGGAGACAACCACTGGTATGACCCAACACCGGAAGTTGAATGTGATAAATGTAGAAGGTTGGGGCCAATTTTATGAGTACATCACCCCATCCACCCACAAGTCCGCAACATCCCCCCTTCCCCTCCCACACAACCTCGATGTTTTGGATCCTTCGTAACTGCCCTGAAAACTTCGCCTCAGGGAATAACATAACATTTTGTTTATTTTTTTACTGTTATAAAATATCGTGGATAAAACTAATTAAAATAAAACATTTCTATTATATAAACAAATGCAGGCCATAACTTAATGATTAATTCTTATAATAATTATTCTTTGGCCACTAGAACAACATATTTTCATCAACATTTGTTTATTGTACATCATGTGTGGAAGACCTCACACGTCATATGGAAGATCATCAAAGAACCTGTATTAAGTAGAGTCATCCTTCTCCTCCTGGCTTTAACCTTTAACACACAAACTTGCTGTACATTTAGTCTTAGTGATGGTAGTTACACATACTGTATATCCTAGTGAAGCTTTATAAAAAATAGTCTAAATGAGAAATAGTCAGGATATGATTAAATTTACGGAAACCTTGACAACGATAAAATCCAAAGTCAGTTTTTTAATGGATGCATACAATGTGTGTGTGTGTGTGTGTGTGTGTGTGTGTGTGTGTGTGTGTGTGTGTTATTCATCTACCATGACTCAGCCCCGGAAACACAGGCAGTGAAGGGCGATATAACCTTCATTGCTGAACCTCCATTTTAAATGTTCTTATAACAATAACACAACCAATGATCGGGGTGGGGGGGTGGGGGGGGTGAGGGGGTGGGTGGGGGTGGGTGAGGGGGTGGAGGAGTTTTAGGCTTACTGAGGTAACATAGTACTTGAGGCAAATACCTTCTCCCACAGACTTACATACCGACTTAAGGTTAGGTTAGGTTAAGTTAGGTTTAATGCGTTAGGTTAGGTTAGGTTAAGTTAGGTTTAATGCGGTAAATCATCACGTGACATAGGCGTGGGTATCTAACCTTCATACGACCCCAAGTTATTTGTTTCCCAGAAAGTCTTGTGATGACGTCATAAGTCTTCCTCCCTGCATCGTCGTGACTACAAAGAACATACAGTGAAACCTCCATATAACGCACTTCTCTCTATATATAAACAGTGAGATGGGGGATTTCACATCTAACGGACTCTCGATATAACTGACTTTTCACCTCTATATAGATGGTTAAATGAAGGTTTCAAATCTAACACACACTAGATATAACGGACTTTCCTCTCGATATAGTCCGTTAAATAAAGGTTTCACTGAATACAAAGATGATGACAAAGACTTTTTTTTACATTACACTACAAGATAAATAAAGCATAACTTTAACTGAAAGACGAACGTTAAATAAACTCTCATGATAATCAGAGATTCTTATGCGGTTAGGTTAGGTTATGTGTTTTTAATGTTTAGAGAATAATTCAAAGTACAGTAGGTATACAGTAAAAGAAAATCAACAGGTGAAGTGTTCAAGGTTAATACGATATCTTGACAGAATGTGTCAGTCAAGTCAAAGTTGCCAAAATTATATATATTTATATTTGAACTGATTACTTATATAATATTCTATCACAACAACACAGGTATAAACGGGGAACACCTGAGATACAAAGTGTGTTAAATAGGTATACGAACACCTGTCCTAGACTCACAACACCTGTTGGAGGTGAGTAATGCTGAAAACAGTAAGTGTAAACTGTGTTGTTCCGAGTTGCTAGTATCGCATTGTGATTAATTTCTTATCAAGAGTGTTAATGCTGTCCCTAAAGTTGTACGAGAACTTTAAATTAACGAAGATTTTATGAAGCTTTCTAGGTGTATTGCAAGGTTGGTGATTTGTATCGTAAGCTTCGTGGTTTGTTTTAAAGATAAGACCCGGTTAAATCTTTTACTTGGCATCGGTGGTTCCTAAGAGTATAAACACGCTATGACTTTCGATGGTGCCAAGGGGAAACAGAACTTAATTCACCAACACAGAACAGTCCAATCTCTTGAATTCAGTAGTCCTAAGATGCTGATTGAACTTGATTCTGAAATAGCATTAATACGCCGCTACATGGAACATAATGGCATTCGAATTAAAAATACCATAGAATATTAGTATTTTTTTCATATGGTACTTAACAATCATGGGTTTCATACATATAATAATAATAGTAATAATAATAATAATAGAAATAAACACACCAAGAGTACAGTGGGAGGTATTTGACACAGTGGGGCGTACATAACAAGAGGTTCGACTCTCGCTCACTCCGCCCAGCTCAGTTAGTTGTGATCCCGGCATCAGTGTGAAGGGCTCATCACGTCTCGCCCTGCAGCACTCCAGTAAACGACTACCGCTAGCATCACCCACACACCCACCATACCTTTGGACTAACACACCGTAGGGAGAGTGACCATGAAGGGGAAGGTGTTATGGCTGGTAGTGTTGTGTGCTGTGGCAGGTAAGTTATTGAGGTGTTGTTGGTTCATTCATCTGACTTATCGGGTGAATACGGATGGATAGTGGGTAGAGCAAGAGGTGGGCAGTGATGGGGTATTGGGCAGGGCAAGAAGCGGGCAATGGGCAGTGAGGGGCAATGGGTAGGGTAATTATTTCCTTAACTCAATGCTCTAATATGAAATACAGTACACAAGCAGCTAACTAATTTGTCCATTGCTAACTGGTTTACGTATGGCAGTAAAACACACACACATACACAACACACACACAAACATACACAAACACACACATACACAACATACATACACACACATACACAACACACACACACAAGTACACACGTACACATACATACAACTCACACACACAACACATACACACACAACACACATACACACGTACACATACACACATACAACACATGCACACATACAACACATGCACACACACAACACACACACAAACACACACATACAACACACACAAACACACACACACATAAACACACGTACACATACACACATACAACACACACACAACACATGCACACACACACATAAACACACGTACACATACATACAACACACACACACACACACACATAAACATACACGTTCACATACACACATACAACACACACACACATACACCGGCTCCTACTACCACCTGAGATCCCTAGCCCGAGAATTGCTGTTCGACACCACAACCGCATCCAGCCCATACGTGCACGAACTGATCGCTATAAGAACAGCCCAGTCCCAACCATTGTAAAAATTATCAATAACTTGTAATAAACCAGTGTATTCACTCCCACTAAATACTACTTCTTGCACTGTCACTATGTTGAAATGCACTGTAGTTTGAGCTTTTCCCCATCTAGTTATTATATATCTTATTTGTATCACTTATGTTACTTGTATATTATTTGTAATTCGAAACCCATTCCCCAAATATGTAACTGTATATTTTCAGCCTTCTGGCTGCCATGCTCTTTCAATAAACCGTTAATTATTATTATTATTATTACACATACACACACACACACACAACACACACACTCAACACATGCACACACACACACATAAATACACACGTACACATACACACATACAACACACACACACACACATTATTATTGTTTTTGTTTTGTCTGAAATTATTTTCAAGTCAATAAGTAATTTGATTTGTGATTTGAACTAGCATATTTGTTTGTGATGTCAGTACACTTGTTTGTGATGTTAGAACTATTGTGAATATACACCCTTGTAGCGTCAACACATTCGTTTGTGAAGTCAATATATATACTTGTTTGTGATGTCAACATACTCTTTTGTGATGTCAACATACTCGTTTGTGATGTCATTATACTCGTTTGTGATGTCAATGTACTCTTTTGTGATGTCATTATACTCGTTTGTGATGTCAATGTACTCGTTTGTGATGCAATATACTCGTTTGCGATGTTAACATACTCGTTTGTGATGTCATTATACTCGTTTGTGATGTCAATATACTCGTTTGTGATGTCAATATACTCGTTTGTGATGTCAATATACTCGTTTGTGATGTCAATATACTCGTTTGTGATGTCAATATACTCGTTTGTGATGTCAGTATATTCGTTCGTGATGTCAATATACTCGTTTGTGATGTCAATATACTCGTTTGTGATGTCGACATACTCGTTTTTGATGTCAACATACTCGCTTGTGATGTCAATATACTCGTTTGTGATGTCAGTATATTCGTTTTTTGTCAATAATCTCGTTTAAGACATCAGGTATAGCTTATTTGCATACTAAATTAATCTGATTGTTTGTGGGGTGAGAAATAAGTACAGTCACTCCAAAAAACTATCTCGACTTGAGGTGATCGATAAATTTCAGAATGAACACTGCGACTCCTATTGTCTCCGGTAGGGTTTTCAAAATCCTTCGTCCGTTGTGTCATAATGTCTCAATATAATTTTGAGAAGATAGTTTTTTGAGTGGCTGTACAGTTCCCTTCACTAGAACGTTTCCAGGGGCTCTTCATATAAACATTCCACAAATCATTATCTTTGAGATATTTGTTTTAATATTGTTTTACTTTGATTCCATAGTATGTTTACTATTGCGAGTTTACTTCTGTCTAATGTAAACAAACAGAGGGCTGCCACACTGCACAAAACCCGACGAGGTCCTATAAACGCACTAGTGAAGGGGACTATACATCATTGGTTATGGAAATTACTGAACAGATTCAATATGAGAGGTACAGTTGCGGTCAAAGCTTCCTGAACACTCAACAACAATTGGCATATAAGTACTTGAAGATCATTAGATAAAGGAGATTGGAATTTTAAAGTATTTTCTCACCTTTTTATTTGTGTTAAGGAGTGTTTCCCGACATGTGATGTAAAGCATCATGAATAGATTATAAACTAATTCTTAATTCACCGAAAGATTAACCACCCTAATGCTAACCTAACCTCACCCCCCAATAGTGTTACGGTGGTGAGATTCTTCAGGTGTTCCGCTTATTTAAGACTTTATTCAAGCACTGATACATCATTCTCATGTTGAAACAAAATGTCTTCACCGATAATCTTCATGTTACATCATCGTGTTGTAAATTTCCATAACCATAATGATGTAATTCGAGTTGCATAAAGGAATGTTAATTAACCTGAGGTGGTTGTGTGGGTCATGAACTTCCCCAGGCATTCATGGGTGTCCGAGGAAGAGCACACCCAGAGTTACCCCCACTGAGGCAACCATACAGGCAGTCACGGCTCCTCCCGACGTCGAAAGGCCTGCAGGTACGCTCTTCCGTGATGCTCATCCACACATATTTCTGAACTGCCGCCAGGTAACTAGGCCGACCAATCACAGATCAGCTCCACATGGATGACGTAACTCGTGACGTCATTATTAGAGGAGAAGAGTTGCTTATCTATCCTCTGTCAAGTTGGTCTGTAATTGAAGACCTCAGTTGTTGAAGTCTGATCATGATGATGTCACACATTGGCTGGCAGGATATCCCAAGAGTTCTGACATTATCTGTAATGATGGCGTCTTTAACTTGAGGCTGTGCATGACCTTTCGTGAACGGCCATCCGGTAACTCAAAATATGTACACTTGAATGACTAATTTCCTCCGAGTTGCTTCTATACTGATATGAACTCACTCTCTGTTCTTATGGACAACTGTAGACTTTCTCATCTCTCATGGTAAGTGAGGTTTTTGAGTGCTTTTCATGGAGACTCTCAGTCAAGTGGCAATCGGAGACCAAATCAGAAATGCAATATTCTAAGCCACTAATCACCGAACCTTTAACAATTCTTATTAGAGACGGACCATTCGGATATGTATAGAACTATCGTATCTATCAAACTAATTTATGAACGAGATTCAACTTCATTTCACAGGTACCGCGGAACTACAGTATATGCCTAGTGAATTAGCGTGAAACATTATGATAATTTTACTGCTAGGAGCGAGCAAAGATTCATTGTCTGTATTTACTTTGTCTTTCAGAAATAATTACCGAGCGAAAACTGTAAGAGAGTTCACTACGCAGAAATTACAAACGTTTTACTTTGGTTATTGTTAAAAATATATTCAGTACAATCGTGGGAAATAATACAATCCATTCTTATTTTTTATGGTCGTAAAAACTTTATCCTGTTTTATTTCCAACTCCGTATAGTAAGTAAGGCTGTTGTTTGATAACCGCTGCAGTAATGTAAGGCTAATTCATTTTAGTAACAGTGTAGCTTGAGTAAGATTATATAAGAACAACACAACAAGTTACTCTGCCATGAAGCAAGCAGGGAGTACGACTGATAGCTACTGTGGTACTTGGCACAGGAGGAGCCAGCGGTTCCAGAGGCGGCAGCAGCAGCAGGAGCTCCGTGACAAACAGTGAGCTACAGCTGCTGACGGAAGAGCTACTGACGCTAGACAACGGGTTGGTCCAGCCCTCTGTCAGCCGCCAGGGGAAGACTACATCCAGATCTGATGGAGATTCAGCCAGCAACCCGTAAGAGATGCCATGTTATTACTGCTACTTTAAAATATTGTAAACAACATGTTTGTAATAGGACGAGAAAGATAATTTATTTTTCACTATCACTCACAGGTTGATCGCCAATGTACCCAGAAGCACAATGAACAACCCCACAGTGGTATTAATGCAGCAACTCCTGGACAACTATGAACCTCAGGTCAACAGACGTGAAGATCGGACTTCTGCAGAACAATCTGAAGAGAATAGCTTCCTGGACGCCATCATGAGAGCCCCCCTGATGGCCAGACTAGAGACCTTCCTCCAGCAAAAGGGTAAAACTTAAACATTCAATATCTGAAACACACGAATAGAAATATGTTCAATGTGTTTAAATATTCTAAGTGAGACATGTCTGAAATGACACACACACAAAAGAATGTTCAATGCACTTTAAGGTATAACATAGATATAGGATATTCATGAGTTATATTCTCCAGGGTTGATCACCAGTGGATTACGTTCAACACTGAAGGATATATGGTTCACATTATACAAGCGAGGAGGACGACAACCTGGATCCTCTGGTTTCGAACACGTATTTGTTGGGGAGCTGAAGGGAGGAAAGGTCTCAGGTTTTCACAATTGGCTCAACTTCAGGCATGAGGAAGTGGATGGTGACCTTAATTACAAAGGTTATATGAAGGCTATTGATCTGAACGGAAAAGTAAGTGATATTTCCAGCATCAAACAACATGAGGCTTTTTATCAGTTTTCATGAGAAGTTAGAAGTATATTTCTGAAATTTTTTTCGATTTATTTTTGCCAGATTAAATTCGTAAAGCACTGTAATGTTAGTTGTCGGTTTAAAAAAGATATTTTGCTTACTTTGAACACAATTTGAACTTTAGTTCGTGTCATTAAAAGCTTTGCTAGTTTGATTAATTGTTTTGACCGTAAGTGTGTTGATATATTGTTCCTGTAGTTAAAGCCAGCTGGTACAGTATTCTGAACGAGTTGTGTTAACACTTTAAGTCATCGCCAGGGTCAGATCATCAAGTTACGCTTCGACTGGCTGAATGAACAGAAGCCTGTGGGCTCACTGTTCGTTGGCACAACACCTGAACTGGAAATGGCTCTCTACACCCTGTGCTTCCTGGCAAAACCAGACTCTAAATGCAGTGTCCAGCTGGCCGGCAAAAAGTTTAAAATCCAGACCTGGACCGCCTCTTTCGGCGGTAAGACCGTCATAGGCAGCGCTTATCCAGACATATAAGCTGCCAGACTGTTGGATGGCGGTAATATATACTCGTATACTGTATATACAGTGTATATACTGTTGGTGTAATCTTTATACAGTAAACTGTTAACTGATCTTGTCTTTAAAGGTATTATCCATTCTCCGTGTACAACCTTAATAAAATATACTCCAGACAACTCTGCCATACCACACCACCTCTCGGGAATGTTGATCATCTTCCCTATAAATTACCAAATACATTATTTCTTTGACAAAATTCATTGCTGTGTTAACATTACCTTCCACGCGACTATCGTTTATTACTTCTTATCAACTTTCTCCTGTATTTCTGTATTTCTCCTTGGTCTCTGTATTTAAGTCATTATTCTTTAATTTATTTAAACTTCAAAATTCAACTTTAATAAATTTCAACTTATATCCCCTGTAGCTTTAGTATCATTCTTGATTCGCGTCACACTGCCAAACACGAGGGCTAGAACACCTGTTAGGAAAGTCCCACGTAAACATGCAGTCATTATCTCGTTATACAGGTAGCCAGTCGCTTCCTGTCATTGTCTCTTCCATTTCCGTTTTACATATCTGTAGATTCTTCTCATAATATAAAAAGAAAATAAAAACTCTCCCCTTCAGCTTATTTCACCTTAAGTTTAACCACCCTAACCTCATTCCCCCAGGGTGGTTAATCTTTAGGTGATATAAAATGTGGGGAAATATTCTTAAGGTGATCAAAATAATCTACTGTCGCTCGTTTCATTTTTCTTCTTCACACACAAAAAAAAAATGATATTTGTGAATATTAAGCTAACGTGATGAACCGACACTCATCCACAGTATAATTTATGTAGCTACACCACGTTTTCTCGGTTGAGCTTCAGAATGTACCCTTCATCTTTAACGTGAGAAGGATGTATAATGTTAAGAACCACACACTCACTCACTCACTCACTCACACACACACAAACAGGAATATGATTGACTTAGTCTTTATTTCTTAACTCTTCATAAAATAAACAAAGAATAATGAAAACATGATGAAGTCGCCAATAGGTTTTAAGCATGAAAATAATCACACCATTATGATCTGTGACTTTTGTATTGTACTCTTGACATTAGTATTTAAGTTGATAATTACTGTTTTCTTTACGTGAAGATTATAACAAACAGTTAAACACTTTTGATAACTGTAAACAAACAAACAAAAATACTCATATTTATACAGACATCTTTTGACATAGCAATTCAACTATACTTATGTGTATGATAAATATCTACCAATTCTATCATTTAAACTTAATCTTATATACATAAAATTATGTATACTATGTACAGTAGAACTAAATGTACTTATAAATTATATTATCAAGTCTGTTTGTTATTGTAAAGCCACATAATTATTATGTCAGGCATCAGAACACTTATTTGTTTGTCTTTTGTCACGATGGCTGAGTCATAGTACTGTGAATAGTGAATCATAGTGTGTGATCAGTGAGTCAGTAAATGTAAACAATGAGTCATAAAGTAATTAGTGAGTCACAGTTATGTAAACAAGGTAAGAGAGCCATGAACTGTTGTGTTGAGTGAGGAAAGTCTTAAATATTGTTTTCCTGTATCATTATTAGTGTCGTAGAATATAAATAAGTCTCTACAATACCAGTACATGATGGCCAAATCCCACAGCTAACCAAACTAAATACAATAAAGCTAACAAAATAACTGTAAATTACACTCTTGATGAACTACAGATTCATACTTAATATTATGTATAAGGAAATTTCCGAGACATTAAAACACTATATAGAAGAAGGTACAGAAGGAGGACTTAAGAATTTTATTTTTTGTTATTGTACGAAACAGAATGTGAAGTTATTAAGTATACAGTAGTTACAAATCACTTCCTGATCTATGTTTGACATAATATTGTATGGGGTCACAACAGGTAGTGGTCGATTACTTCTTCCATTAATCGACCATCATTGAAATTCTTAGTAAATAAAACAACTGTTCACATTGCACGTTATATTTTGGTCTAATTTACCTTTGTGGCGGAGAAGGAAGCTGGTGACTTGTGTGTGTTGTGTGCTCAGGTGCATTCTGAGTACAATAACGTTTTTGTTACCGGTAGTAATTAGCTGTCCCCTGAGATGTACAGAAAATATAAGACAGTACTTGAGCGGTTTCTCGTGCGTAATCAAGATGAGTTATTCGTTTAGCGGATTTAAGGAACGTCACAGGCAAGCTGCTAGGGGTACTTAAGAGAAGCGACAACCGAAGGAGTCACAGGCAGTCCGCCAGTGCCAACCAACCATATCACAGGAACTCCAGGTGTCTGAAGTAGTTCTTTAAGAAATTCTTCAGCCCTAAAATCCATTGACAAGGTGAGTTTCATTTATTAATGAAGTTCGAATGTGGTCGATAAAATTACTTCAAAACTACAACATTGCTTTTCACGAATCTTTTAATATGACTGGTATAGCCCAGAGAGGAAACAATTTTCTTTTTGATGAAGGAAAATCACAAGTCATCTTCATAACTTACTATGAGAAATCTTGACGTTGACATTTGACAAATTACTTACAAACACGAGAATTCATTTCATAAAAAATTACAAGTGCAATATTCTTCAAATCATCATATTCATCTATTCTGCAATATTTCAAACCTTGTATAAGTTATGATGCTTTCAAAATCATCTACATAAGTCGAGATATTCAGTACATAAGCCCAACAGCCCTTTCAAAGTTCTCTAAAACAATAGCATCTAAGTTTTCCAATTCACCGAAGCTAAATTTTTCTTCAGTTCTTAGATCTTTCAGAAATAGTAGCATATTCGTATTACAGTCATTACAGAAATCTTTTCCAATTTAATCCATTTCCTTTTCACAAATCCACAATTTTTGTCTTCATCTCCTGGTTTCCCCTTAATTTAGTTATAGCAACAACTATATATATTTAATATTTTTTCTCTCTTTTTCTAGATGTCTTACTGGGACAATCCGGCCAACATGGTCTCCAACAGCCTTCCCTCCACCAACCCTTATGGGAACTACACAGTGGTCGACACTGTACCCAAAGAAATCCTCCATATGGTGGATCCTCATTGGTACCAGTTCCCTCCCATGAACCCCCTGTGGTACGGCCTGGTCGGTTTCTGGATGGTTGTTATGGGCACTCTGTCCGTCTTCGGCAACTTTGTCGTCATCTGGGTCTTCATGGCCACAAAGTCTCTCCGAAGCCCAGCTAACCTCCTCGTCGTCAACCTGGCTGTTTCTGACTTCCTCATGATGCTGACTATGTTCCCACCCATGGTCATCAATTGTTACTGGCAGACATGGATACTCAGTGCCACCTTCTGTGAACTGTACGCCTTCTTCGGTTCACTCTTCGGCTGTGTGTCTATCTGGACCATGCTGTGGATCACATATGACCGCTACAATGTCATTGTCAAGGGTGTCGCTGCTGAGCCTCTAAACTCCAAGGGAGCCATGCTCAGGATTTTCTTCACTTGGACATTCGCCTTTGCCTGGTGCCTGCCTCCCTTCTTCGGCTGGAACCGCTACGTGCCTGAGGGCAACATGACTGCTTGTGGTACTGATTACCTCACTGAAGATGTCTTCTCCCACAGCTACCTCTACATCTACTCCGTGTGGGTTTACTTTGTTCCTCTCATCGTGATCGTGTACAGCTACACCTTCATCGTCAAGGCTGTCGCTGCTCATGAAAACCAGATGCGTGAACAGGCTAAGAAGATGGGTGTCAAGTCTCTCAGGAGTGAAGAAGCACAGAAGACCTCTGCTGAGTGCCGTCTGGCTAAGGTTGCTCTGATGACAGTGTCCCTGTGGTTCATGGCCTGGACCCCTTACCTCATCATCAACTACGCTGGCATGATCAACAAGTCCCACGTGACTCCTCTTTTCTCCATCTGGGGCTCCGTATTTGCCAAGGCCAACGCTGTCTACAACCCCATCGTTTACGCCATCAGCCATCCCAAGTACCGAGCTGCCCTGGAGAAGAAGCTGCCATTCTTGTCCTGCGCTACTGAAGGTCGTGATAACCATTCTGAATCTGCCTCCACTGTCACCAACGAGAAATCTGAGAGTGCTTAAATATCTCAGGTCATCAAACTAATTTGATCACAAGACACATGATTTCTTGATTCCTTCTCCTGTAACGCTTTAATATATCCTTGCATTAAATATGCCGTTTAATTCACCTATTTTTATAATCATGACAGGCCTTTTGTGTCATCAGCAAAGGAAAGCAACTAAGTTTACGGTTACGTTTTAAGTATAATCTAAATAATTAATTCCATGAAACATATATGATAAAATAAGCATATAGGAAGGGGTTCAGATAATTTTAATTAAAATCTTTTTGACTTAATTCATCTCTCTGTCTCTCTCACTCTTAATATATATATATATATATATATATATATATATATATATATATATATATATATATATATATATATATATATATATATATATACACACACTAGTGTGTTTGTGCGGATGTTTACTATGCATAACTACAGTTTTAAGGATAAAGAGAGGAAATTTGGTAAGGTGTGTCAAGAACCCCAGAACTACAAACTATACCGGTAGTTTATTTTCTTTCTTGACTTCACTTGTCCAGTCTCAAGGAAGGGTCACCAAGGTGGAATTTTGGAGGTTGGTCTAAGTGATCTGCTTCCCACCCAAAAAGGTGAAAGCCTCTTAATAAAAAAAAAATAGATTTTTTAGTGGTTTTAAGACAAATGAAAATATAGGTGGTGGAAAGAAACCAAGGAGACAAGTTTTAAGATAGCTGAAATTTAGTATGTTTTTGTAAATAGCCCCGAGAATGTTAACGAGCGTCCAAATCGGGGGAGGGGCAGGGGCAGGGTTGAACCCCACCTAAAAGTGGATTCCCCCGTGAAAGCCATAGTTTTTAACACAGAGATAGAATTCGACATAATTTTCTTTTGCATATGCACTTAATTTTAGCCCATGGACGAACACAGGCATCCGTCCGCGTTAATTTTACTTCTTGAGAAATAAACTTGGGCAATGCCAGGTATCCCAATTCATGTGTGTGTGTGTCCGGTTAATGATGAAAGAAAGAAGTAAGACTTATTTTCTTTACCTGTTGTCATTACTCATATTATTTTATCCCCATCATGTAACTTACTTAGTTTCTTGTATTTGTATATAATATTTACATATTTCTCTCCATTCATTTCACGTTTATATGTCTCTGAATATGGTTATATTTTCAACCATTGTTAACAAAAGGTAAAATAAACAATTTAATTCTTTAATTGCTTGGATATTTTAAAAGGTACATACAGCTGTAAGAATTAAGGATTCATAAATCGTATCATAACGTTCGTTTGAAAAACCGAAGGTCTCTTAAGCACTTTCTGACTTTTCGTTCGTAGTGGCAGTGGAAGTTGTGTCTTCCTGAGACTCACGACCTTCCGTTGCGCAGGACAAGCAGGGCAGCTTCTTCTCCAGGGCAGCTCGGTACTTAGGGTGGCTGATGGCGTACACAATGGGGTTGTAGACGGCGTTAGCCTTAGCGAAGACGGATCCCCAGATGGTTAGGAGAGGACTCACAGAAGGCTTGTTGATCATGCCAGCCCAGTTGATGATAAGGTATGGGGTCCACGCGATGAACCACAGGGACACTGTCGTCAGAGCAACCTTGGCCAGACGGCACTCATTAGAGGTCTTCTTTGTTTCTTCACTCCTGAGAGACTTGACACCCATCTTCTTAGCCTGTTCACGCATCTGTCTTTCGTGAGCAGAGACAGCTGCGACGATGTAGGTGTAGCAATAAACGATGATAACGAGAGGAAGGAAGTAACACCATACGGAATATAAGTAAAGGTACAGGTGATAAGGGAGTGACTCTTTGAGATAGTCAGTGCCGCAAGCAATCAAGTTGCCTTCGGGGACGTAAGCATTAAAGCCAAAAAATGGTGGCAAGCACCAGCCAATGGACGTTACCCAACTGAAGAGGTTTCTCAGCATGGCTCCATTAGTGGTAAGAGGAGTAGCAGAGACGCCCTTGACGATGACATTATAGCGGTCCAATGTGATGAAGACCATGCAGAAGATAGAACAGGTGCCAACAGTGGAACCAATGCACCCATAAACTTCGCATGCAAATGCACCCCAAACCCATGTCTGATAATAGCAATTAATGAGCAAGGGTGGGCACATGCAGAACATCATGAAGAAATCGGAAATGGCCAAGTTGACGACGAGTAGGTTGGCTGGAGTACGGAGGGCCTTAGTGGTCATGAAGACCCAGATGACGATACTGTTGCCGCAGACAGACAGGGTGCCCATAACAAACATCCATAGTGCGAGCAGGCCATACCAGAGGGGGTTCATGGGAGGGTACTGGTACCAATGAGGATCCACCATGTGGAGGATTTCCGGGGCAGCCGAGTCAACGACCGTGTAGTTTCCATAAGGGTTGGTGGACGGGCCGCCGCTCGCGTAGTCGGATGGATTATCCCAATAACTCATCTACAAAAAAATAAAAATAATGATTAACGTATATGAAACAGAAATAATAAAATAATTATAATAATAGTGTGTATGTGTGCAGTATATGCTAAATTAAAAAAAATACTGGCGGGAGAGTAAAGATATTTAAATAAGTAATGTCTTGTAATTTACCGTTGTTGATGACAGAGCCAGAAAATTATAACCTAATTGCATAAGAAAGGCCGAATATTATTGTAGGTTATTCTAGCGTCTTGTTCTTTTTTTCGAAGACGCTGGTAAAACTATGAGTGAAGAACTTTTATTGTCATAAAACCATTTCTGCATTATGTAACTTAAGTTTAGGCGATAAAATGAATAAATAAATAAAAATTAAAACAATGATAAGAATGTAGGACATGTGTTGAAACTAGTAAGTAAAATGACTAAAGAAGCTAAATATATCAAGTACATTACAAAGACCAAAATTATACGTCCAAGATACTGTATGTGATTAATTTTTTAATACATAAAATGCTGCCAGATATAGTTAGTGAACGTTACACACAATAAACAAAGAAATAATATGATTATTGAGTTCTACAGCTTATTGGATGTCTGTGGTAACTGGGCTTGATATGATGTGGTAAGTTTATATTTTATGCTCTTGGAAATGTGTAAAGGTAAAACACTGATCGGTGGACAAAATAATTACAGTGACTCATATGTAAAATAGGATACTCGTTCAGAACTGAGTGAACTGGGCACGAGCCAGTGACCATTAGTAAATGAAGTGAACCCAAAATATACAATTCTCTGTGTTAATTTCAGTTATTCGTCTTTGATTTGGGAATTATTTTTGACGTAATATTATGATTTATTATTATTAATAATATATCAACTTCAAGAGCGATTAACGACTTTGGGTATATTATTAGTCTTTCGTAATTTAATATAAATATAACTTACATGATGTTAAATTTAAGGTTACTTAAGACAGAGTTTAAATGAGAATGAAACCTCATAAAATTAAAGAATGATACATTTCAGTTACTAAAGAGCATGAAGATAGTTTGCAAGGGAAGAATACTGTCTTAATAATTCAATGTTCCTTATACGTTTTAAAAGCTATTTATTTCCTTTTCTTACTATTGGAGGTTCACATCCGTCTATTAATAAGAGTAACTCACCTTGGCGATGTGTTGTAGTGGGGAGAACTCGAGTGCCGTTTAGTCGAGAGTACAGCTGCTGCTGCCGTCTGCTGGAGACTGACCAGGGTGCATGGTCTTATGTACCCCTCACGTCTTCCACATGATGGGGCTAAGACCAGTAACCGAATCTTGTCTACAGATGTGGTTAAGTGCTTTGTAAGTTCTTCCCATGTTACGTATCTTGCAGTGTAGCTCCAAGGTTATGATACCTAGATTCCTGCAGCATTGTTTGCCTACTGAGGGATCCTTGTGGTGTACACCTCGATATTATTTTTTTCATTTGGATAAAAAAAAATAATTATTTGTCAATGTATTCAGCATGGATTGTTCTATTTTCATAGGAAGTAATTCTATTTAGGTTAGTCTATGATAATTACAATGTGGATAAATAAGTTTTGCTATAAATTAATTTTTTCTAAAGCTTTTAAAATTTTCAGTTTTGTAGGCTTCTGGTTTGATAAAAAGCTAAGAGCTTCCAGCTGTATTAAACAAGTAAAATAGGATAAAAAACAAAACAAAATAAATACCGTGCACTTGGTGTATTAGGAGATGGAAATGCATACAATAAGCAGCAGAGACAGAAGATATAAAGAACACATATTATCATAAAAGAGCCTGTGTGTGTGTGTGTGTGTGTGTGTGTGTGTGTGTGTGTGTGTGTGTGTGTGTGTGTGTGTGTGTGTGTGTATGTGTGTGTGTGTGTGTGTGTTCAGGAAGAATATCTTTCCTACCACCCAAAAAAAATAATAATTTGGTATAGTTTAGGTTGGATTGGAATGGGTTGGATTAGTCTGGGTTGGACAGGGTTGGGTTGGGTTGGGTTTGGTTGGACAGAGATGGGTTAGTTTGGGTTGAACTGGGTTAGTTTAGGCTGGGCTGGGTTGGGTTACTTTGGGTTAAGTTAGATTAGGTTAGGTTGGGTTTATGGTCTAAATAAAACTATCTTGACATAACCTAACTATATCTAACCCAACACAATCTAACCTAATCCAACCAAACTTAACCAAACCTAATCTTATCAAACGTAACCTAACCTAATCCAACCTAACTTAACCAAACCTGATCTAATCAAACCTAACTTAACCAAACCTAACCTAATCAAACCTAACCTAACCTAATCCAACCTATCTTAACCAAACCTAATCTAATCAAACCTAGCCTAACCTAACAAAACTTAAACTAACCAAACCAAACATAACCTAACCAAACCAAAACTAACCAAACCCAACCTAATTTAGCCTAACCAAACCAAACAAACCTAAACTAACCAAAGCTAACCGAATTTGACCTAGCCTAACCAAATCAAACTTAACCAAACCTAACCAATCCTAACGTAACCGAACCAAATCTAACCAATCTGAACCTAACAAAACCACATCGTTTCAAGCTGTATTATTCACAAGTAGAAAAACAAACACCACTTTATTAGTAGAGGGAAAATATATTATTGTAAAAGGTAAAAACCATTCCTGTAACCCATGACCATCTGGGTACTTTGGCTACCAAATAGTATTCCAGTGTTATTTTCTGACGATAGAATACATTATTTACAGTCTTGATAAAGTAACTAGATTGACTGTACGGCAATATAGAGTTCACCAAGGAGATAGAGTAGTTTCGACTTTGGAAATATTAGAAATCACAGGTTTGATAATTTGTTTAATACCTTTTTTTATGGAAGGCCAACGTTTCCTTGTGTGTATAGAGGAAATTCACATCATTTACACACTATAAATACAAGTTGAATCTAATATGAGCGATACGAGCGTTCCACCTCTCTAGCTGCAGTATATTTAACGCTTAACATAAATTATGATGGAAAACTTCATCAACAATGTCTGGATAAAGCAAGGGTCACCCCTTAAAGAGTGCTGCGTTTTCACCGTGAGTTTATATTTGTTGATATATTATTCGTGTTTCATAAACAGTGTTAAATCCTATATTATATTTTTATGAATATATATACATATAATTGTAGAACTTTGTCCCTTAGACTCTGCTGTGTATCATACAACTCTACCTCAAGATGTTTCTGGTTTCCCTGGCATTATTCATTATTAAACTATTATTTAACAAATAAAATTTACATAAATATATATAAAATCTGGCTAAAAGTAAGCCTAACTCAACCCAACTGAACCGAAACAAATTTGTTACCCCATTTTTGTCAGGATTCAGTTCCTAGTCTTAGCCCCATCATGTGGAAGGCGTGAGGGGTACATAAGACCTTGCACCCTGGTCTGTCTCCAGCAGACGGCAGCAGCAGCTGTACTCTCGACTAAACGACACTCGAGTTCTCCCCACTACAACACATCGCCAAGGTGAGTTACTCTTATTAATAGACGGATGTGAACCTCCAATAGTAAGAAAAGGAAATAAATAGCTTTTAAAATGTATAAGGAACATTGAATTATTAAGACAGTATTCTTCCCTTGCAAACTATCTTTATACTGTTTAATAACAGCTAAGAAATTCAAAGGGAATGCAGCCAGGACAAGAAAGGTGATGTAGAAAGGAATTACAAGGAGATTGAAGATGATGACTAAGATTAACGAAATGAACCAAAAATAAAAAATAAATGGGGTGGGACTAATAAAAGCAAAGACAATAAGATCCTATTTGAGACAGAATAAGTAAAAGATAAATGGGCAGAGTACGTAGAAGAAGGATAGAGTAGAGGTAAAGAAGGATAGAGTAGAGGTAAAGAAGGATAGAGTAGAGGTAAAGAAGGATAGAGTAGAGGTAAAGAAGGATAGAGTAGAGGTAACGAAGGATAGAGTAGAGGTAAAGAAGGAAGTAGAGGTAAAGAAGGATAGAGTAGAGGTAAAGAAGGATAGAGTAGAGGTAAAGAAGGATAGAGTAGAGGTAAAGAAGGAAGTAGAGGTAAAGAAGGATAGAGTAGAGGTAAAGAAGGATAGAGTAGAGGTAAAGAAGGATAGAGTAGAGGTAAAGAAGGAGAGTAGAGGTAAAGAAGGATAGAGTAGAGGTAAAGAAGGATAGAGTAGAGGTAAAGGATAGAGTAGAGGAAGAAGGATAGAGTAGAGGTAAAGAAGGATAGAGTAGAGGTAGAGGTAGAAGAGAGAGCTAAAGAAGGATAGAGTAGAGGTAAAGAAGGATAGAGAGAGGTAAAGAAGGATAGAGTAGAGCTAAAGAAGGATAGAGAGGTAAAGAAGGATAGAGTAGAGGTAAAGAAGGATAGAGTAGGAGGTAAAGAAGGATAGAGTAGAGGTAAAGAAGGATAGAGTAGAGGTAAAGAAGGATAGAGTAGAGGTAAAAAGGATAGAGTAGAGGTAAAGAAGGATAGATTAGAGGTAAAGAAGGATAGAGTAGAGGTAAAGAAGGATAGATTAGAGGTAAAGAAGGATAGAGTAGAGGTAACGAAGGATAGAGTAGAGGTAAAGAAGGATAGAGTAGAGGTAACGAAGGATAGTGTAGAGGTAAAGAAGGATAGAGTAGAGGTAAAGAAGGGTAGAGTAGAGGTAAAAAAGGATAGAGTAGAGGTAAAGAAGGATAGATTAGAGGTAAAGAAGGATAGAGTAGAGGTAACGAAGGTTAGAGTAGAGGTAAAGAAGGATAGAGTAGAGGTAAAGAAGGATAGAGTAGAGGTAAAGAAGGAAGTAGAGGTAAAGAAGGATAGAGTAGAGGTAAAGAAGGACAGAGTAGAGGTAAAGAAGGATAGAGTAGAGGTAAAGAAGGAAGTAGAGGTAAAGAAGGATAGAGTAGAGGTAAAAAAGGATAGAGTAGAGGTAAAGAAGGATATATAGAGGCAAAATATGAAGCAGGAGGTAAAGAAGGACAGAGTAGAGGTAAAAGGATAGAGTAGAGGTAAAAAGGATAGAGAGGAGGTAAAGAAGGATAGAGTAGAGGTAAAGAAGGATAGAGTAGAGGTAAAGAAGGATAGAGTAGAGGTAAAGAAGGATAGAGTAGAGGTAAAGAAGGAAGTAGAGGTAACGAAGGATAGAGTAGAGGTAAAGAAGGATAGAGTAGAGGTAAAGAAGGAGAGTAGAGGTAAAGAAGGATAGAGTAGAGGTAAAGAAGGATAGAGTAGAGGTAAAGAAGGAAGTAGGAGGTAACGAAGGATAGAGTAGAGGTAAAGAAGGATAGAGTAGAGGTAAAGAAGGATAGAGTAGAGGTAAAAGAAGGATAGAGTAGAGGTAACGAAGGATAGAGTAGGAGGTAAAGAAGGATAGAGTAGAGGTAAAGAAGGATAGAGTAGGAGGTAAAAGAAGGATAGAGTAGAGGTAAAGAAGGATAGAGCAAGAGGTAACGAAGGATAGAGTAGAGGTAAAGAAGGATAGAGTAGAGGTAAAGAAGGATAGAGTAGAGGTAACGAAGGATAGAGTAGAGGTAAAGAAGGATAGAGTAGAGGTAAAGAAGGAAGTAGAGGTAAAGAAGGATAGAGTAGAGGTAACGAAGGATAGAGTAGAGGTAAAGAAGGATAGAGTAGAGGTAAAGAAGGATAGAGTAGAGGTAAAGAAGGATAGAGTAGAGGTAAAGAAGGATAGAGTAGAGGTAAAGAAGGAAGTAGAGGTAACGAAGGATAGAGTAGAGGTAAAGAAGGATAGAGTAGAGGTAAAGAAGGAGAGTAGAGGTAAAGAAGGATAGAGTAGAGGTAAAGAAGGATAGAGTAGAGGTAAAGAAGGAAGTAGAGGACAGAAACGAAAAGGAAATAAGAATCGAAATGCTAGTTGTGGAAACAGAAGTTGAGGCAGCTGTGAGCAAAATTAAAAATGTTAAAGTTTGTGGGGTTGATCAGCTTCCAGCAAAATTTTTAAAACAAATGGGCAAGAATGGGATAAAATGTTTTACTAAAATATGTAATTCAATGTACTTCAAAAGAGACCTTCTCAGTGTTTTAAAAAAAGTCAATACAGTATTTGGATTATTACCTAAAAAAGCCAAAAGCTATATAGAGTGCACCCAGTTTAGAACAATAAGTATAATAAGTCATGCCTGTAAAGTATTATTTTAAACTTTATTTTAAGTAGGATAAAATTTTGAATAGATAGTGAGTTATCTGAAGAGCAAACCGGATTTAGAAGGGGAAAAGGAACTAGAGAACCCATGTTTGGTTTGAGAATTTTGAGTGAAAGGG